TCTAGTTTCATTCCATTATGACTTAATAAGAGGCATGAAATTATTTCAGTTTTTCTTGGCATTTGTTAATCCTTGCTTTATAGCCTAAACTGTTACCAATTTTGGACAAAATTCTACAGGCAGCTCACAAGAATGTGTGTTCCACAGCTGAGGGATGGCTTGTTCTTTAAATGACTATTATGTCCATTTGATCTATGATGTAAGTTAACTATGTATTGATGAGAATGGGATATTCAAGTCAAGTACTATTATTGTATTTGGATCTATCTGTCTCTTAATTTTCAATGGTGTTTTTTGGTAGTAAAAATATTAGTTAAGATTATTAGGAATGAAATTTAGCATAACAGAATAAAAGTGGGGAGAAATGGAAAAAAAAAGACAAACATTTCTTACTCCCATGCAGGAAATGGGAGTAGAGACCACTTCAATAGTGTTGGGTGCACCAATATTTGGTGAATATAAATTTGCCATCATATCTCTTGATGGATTGCTCCTTTTATTAATATGTACTGACCCCTTTTGTATCTTCTGACTAATAGTGTAGCTTGCTTGCTTTTGAATACTGTTGGAATATCATTTTCTATCCTTTCACTTACAAACTGTATATGATTACAAGTGAGGTGACTTTCTTGCAGGCAGAAAAGAGTTGAATCTTTTAAAATCCATTGGATTTTACTTAGATTTAAGACCATTTCCCCTTAGGGTTACTATTGAAAGATTTTAACTGATTTTTTCCTTTTTAATCTTAGAGTTTTTCTGCTTAGTAATATTTAATTCTTTTTCTTAATTTTCATTTGTTGATCCATTCATCAAGTGAGATGTATTCTTTTCTGGGCTCTCATGACTGTGTATATCTTTCTTTCTCTTTTGTGTGTAGTATTCCTTTAAGTATCTTCTCTAATACTGGGTTAGTAGTAATGAATTACTTTAGTTTGCAGGTATCAAAAAAGGTGTATATTTTCTCTTTGATTTTAAATGATACCTTTGTTGGATATTGCAATCTTGGTTGACAGCTATTTTCTTTCAGGGATTGAAATAAATCAGTGTTTTAGCTGAGAAGTCTGCTGTTATTCTGATAGATTGGCCTTTGTAAGTAACTTGTACTTCTCTCTTGCAGATTTTAATATTTTTATTTTTAGTGTTCTCTTTGTGTTTTAACTGAAATATAATGTGAAGAGGTTTATTTCTGGTCATGCCTATTTGGTGTTCAAATATCTCCTGGATTTGGTTGTCTATATCTTTCCCCAAATTTGGGAAATCTGCTATAATTTCCTTGAAAAGGTTTTGTACACTTTTTGCCTGTATCTTGGATCCCTTTCTATAATAAAGATTCTTAGGTTTTGTCTCTTACCTTTATCCTAGAGTTCTTGAAAGCTGTGCTAATAATTTCTTAAAAAATTTGAATGTAATAATCCTCAACCTTGTCTTCTATCACTAATACTTTTTCTTTCTCTTGGTTTGGTCTATTGGTGATATTTTTCAGTGGGTTGTAAAATTTGATTTATTGAGCTTTTTCATTTTCAAAATTTCTGTTTTTTTCTTCAGAATCTCTATCACTTTGCTGAATTTCTCATCCATGTCTTGGACTGACTTCCATACTTTGTTCATTTTAAAAACCAGATTTTTGAACATTTTTTATTCTGCATTTCAAACATTTCAATATATTTGAATTTGGTAATGAGGAGTTATGAACATTTGGAGGATCATTTTTTTTGCCTTTCATTTTTTTTGGTGGTCCTGGGGTTTGAGCTCAGAGCTTCACACTTGCTGTACAGGTGTTCTGCTGTCTAAGCTATGCCTGCATTCTTTTTTGCTCTAATTATTTTGCAGATAGGGTCTCACTTTTTGCCCAACCAGCTTGGACTGCGATCCTCCTATTTTACACTTCTTGCTGCAGCTGGAACGAGAGATGTGAACCACCGTGCCCAGACCTTTTTGCTGAGATGGGGGTCTCACAAACTTTTTACCTCAGGCTGGCCTGGAACTGCAGTCGCTCTGATTTTAGCCTCCCCATAGCTTGGGATGACAAGTATGTGGCACTGAATCCTGCTATTGGTTGAGATGGGAGTGGAATTTCATGAACTTTTTGTCCAGCTGTCCTTGAACTGCAATCCTCCTGATCTCAGCTTCCAAGTGTCTGTGATTATAGGCATGAGTCACTGTACTCAGCTTTTTTCATATTTCTTATGTTTCTAGGTTGCAGTTTGCACCTCTGTTGAGAGGGATACCTCTTCTAATGTTATGTGGGGATCTTCGCAGAGGGCAGTCTTTTCTTAGGGCCATAATCTCCACTACCACTTAAGAGGAGAAAAAGAAAGCAGTAATAATTAAAACAATTAAAAATAAGTTGAAGATTTCAATGTGGTAAAAAATTGGAAATATCAACTACATCTTCAGTAAAGATTGAAAAGAAAAGAGCTAGGATACTTACAGGATAAATTAGTAAGGTAAAATATTAATAAGTAATCAAAGAAGAGGAAATGGGGAATGGAAAAGAGAAGAGAAGTTTGGAAAGAGAGTAAAAGTATACATGGGATGAAAGTATGAGAAGTAATATGGAAGGAAAATACAACACAACAAATATAGAGCATGGCAGAGTAGTCAAAAAGAAAAAGGAAGAAAGAAAAGAGACAGTCAATATTTCTGCCTTCCTGAGGAGACAGAGGATAGAGATGTTTGGTTTTTTCCCCAGGTTTGTCATTTTTTAGTTTATTTGGTGTTAGGAGCAGGGGGATATTGAAACCATTTTCTCTGTGAAGTCCAAACAGGTTAGCTCCAAAATGGCTGTCTGCAGGTTGAGTCTCACCCTGCCTTCCTACTGGGATTGGCGCTACTATGACATTGCTGCCAGTATTCTTGCCAGTGTTTTCTGTGCCATTCCCTTCAATCTGGGAAGTGCAAGAGCTGTTCCCAAGCTACTCTGTCCAGGTGAGCCCAAGAACCACCGACTTGGATGCCCTCTAATACCAGACATACTCTGTAAGTGTGTGCATGGACGTGGGGAATACCTTAGGAGGCTGTGTTTACACATGTGTTTCTGAGGCTTGGAGAGCATAGAAAATATTCAGACCAAACCAATCTGCACTGGTGGGACAAGGCATGGGGTACTGAGTAGTTCTGTATGCTGTAAACACACCTGTCTCCATCCTGATGCCTTACACTTCTCATATTCACACATAGATGGTCTTATTCCTCTTCCCAGAGATTAGACCACAGTTCACAGCTCGAGGGCCCTCACCTTCTGTTCAGTGTGGCTCAGATAACCTGCAGACCTATGTTTGTAAATCTGCATCCAAGTCACAAGCAATTTCTTGGGCTCACACTGATTCACAGGCTAGTCACTCAGTCAGTGGAGAAGGGGAGGACTTTGGGGATTGGAGATGTAAAAATTCAAGGACTTCTGCCCTCCCTGGTTGAAATATTTGCTGCATAATTTTTCTCAAGATGATTTCCCACCATGGCACCAATGAGCAAGCTAGGAAGTGCAGGAGGCCCTTCTCCAGTGTCTACTTGCTATGTGGATTGCAGATCTCCATTCTTGTCACTTTTTTTTTTGGTGGGACTAGAGTTTGAACTCAGGACCTTGCCCTTGCAAAGCAAGCTCTCTACCATTTGAGCCATACCTCCAGTCATCTCCATTCTTAAAGTATATTTTTTTCAGACTGCCATATTGTGTCTGTGGTGCTCACTGAGGCTCTCCTTTTTCTTTTTATTAAAGCGTCAATGAGATGTATTCTCTTTCTTCCCTACTGTTTTGCCTAGTACCAAATGCTAGGGTTCATTGCTTTTTCTACAAATCTAAGTTTGATATTTCTGGATTTTGCCTGGTCTCTGTCTACTGTTTACTGTTGCACTCCTGTGCCTTCTGGGCCGCCAACCTCTGCCTGCAGTCACACACCAATGTTTTGTTTCAACTCATGGAGATGGAGAAAGTGTTGGGTTGTTTCTAATCTACCATCTTCCCTTTCTGTACTTGCTAGTTTTCTACCAGTATCATTTTCTGTACCTCACTGATTAAGTTTCGGTAAACTAGCATAAAAGACCGTATGGACTTCTTGAATTGAAATGCTGCAAAGGATATATCTCTGTGAAAAGTTACCAATAAGTAAGTCACATATGTCTTAATGATGAGGAAATGTGAAAAATAGGCTGTTAGACAATTTCATCATTGTGTGACATCAGAGTGTACTTAAACCTAGATGGTGTAGGTCAGTCACTCAATGAGTCCTCCTGATGCAATAAAAAGAATCAGTGAGCACAAGGTGTATGGGTCTGCTGCCAGTGTAACACAATATACTGCTTTACAGTAGTTTTTTTGTAAGTGGAAAGAAGAAACTTTTAAATAGTGACAAATAGTATAGTATAGTAAATAAACAGTAATCTACTCTTTTGTTGTCCCAATCAGGTATTATGTATTGCATGTAATTGTGTGTGATATAATTTTATACCACTGGCAGTGCAGTAGATTTGTTTATAGCAAGATCACTACAGACATGAATAATGAGTTGTGCTATCATGTTAGGACACAGGTCATCAGGTGGTAGGAATTTTTCAGCTCCATTATAATTTCATATATTTATTTATTTTATTAGTATATAATAGTTGTATGGGGGGATACATTGTGATATTTACATGTGCCTACAACAAACCTTAATTAGGTTTACCTCTCCATTGTTTTTCCTCTTCCTCCTCCCCCTTCTTAGAACAATTTCAACAGGTTTCATTCTTCTGTTTTCATTTAGCTTCATTATAATCTTTTGGGGCCACTGAAATGTGATCCTGTGCTGCATGACTATAAAATGAATGAGCAAATAAGCAACTTATAACAAATGAACTTTAAAGCACAAAGTAAAATCTTCATTTTTCTTCAACAATATTGAACACGTGGTAGAGAGTCTGCTTGTGTATCAGGTGCAAGCAGAATTCAGAAATGAGACACTTGAGGGAGAAATTTCTGGCAGACCCTCAGCCAAAGGAATGGAGGATGCTTTCAGTTTCTCTCACAAGTTATTGGTTCTATGAGAAGGAGATTTGCTCCTGAATAATCTGACCAGTGCTCCTTTCATGTCCTTGTTCCGCAGGCTGTAAATGAAGGGGTTTAACAAGGGAATCACCACTGTGTACATGACAGCAGCTGCTGTGTTCTTCACCATTGAGCTGGAGGAAGAAGATGATGGGCACAGATAAGCCTTGATCACAGTCCCGAAGAACAGGGCAACCACAGCAAGGTGGGAACCACAGGTAGAGAAGGCCTTGAGCCTTCCCTGAGCAGAGGGGACTCTGATAATAGCAGTAACGATGTGGATATAAGAGACCAGGATGAGAAAAAAGGGGATTAATATGACTGCACCTCCCAAGAAGAGAAGCACTAACTCATTGACCTTTGTATCAGAGCAAGAGACCTTCAGCAGGGGTCCCAGGTCACAGAAGAAGTCAAGAATGATCTTCTTAGAGCAGAAGGACAGACGGAATAAAAGGAAAGTGTAGGTCATGGCAACAAGATTTGTCAGGGCCCAGCAGGCAGTCACCATGAATGTGCAGCGCAATAGGCTCATGATCATTGTGTAGTGGAGAGGGTGGCAAATGGCTATGTAGCGGTCATAGGCCATTGTGGCCAAGAGAAAGATGTCCATATCTCCAAAAGTCAAGAAGAAGTAGAGCTGTGCCAGGCATCCTGCATAGGAGATGGACCTGTTCTGGGTCTGGATGTTCACCAGGGCCTTGGGGCACAGTGGTGGAGGTGAAAAGGATGTCTGCACAAGACAGGCTGGCGAGGAAAAAATACATGGGGGTGTGGAGACGTGTATCAGCAACAATGGCCAGGACAGTGAGCAGGTTCCCAGCCACAGTGATGATGTACATCCACAGGAATAGCAGGAAGAGGATGTGCTGCTGCTCTGGGTGCTCTGACAGTCCCCAGAGGAGGAACTCGAAGATGCTGCTCTGATTCTCTCCAGCCATGAGACAAGGTCAGAGGAAGAGATCTTGAGTGAGCCCCTTGAAACTGTAAAATATTTCACTTTAGATAACCAGAGAGCATGACATTCTAGGAGCTCTAGAGATAAAGAAAAAAGGACAATGCATTTGTATTGACCACTGCTATATCCACAGTAAATATTATGAAAGCCTACCAAATACATTGTTCTAGAACGTTTAGGAGACAAAGTTAAAAGTAACTGAAATTGATTTTTTAGGTAATTTCTCTATGCTCTTATCTGTCTTAAATTTCTTTTCTGGTAATGTCTTTGTCACCAGCTGTATTCTCAGAGGAGTCAAGATGCTTTCAGTCAAAAAAAGAAGCTTTCACTCACTCACTTATTCTATTAATATTAAGAGCCATCTTTGGACCTGTTATAGTGCCAGGTAAATAATACAGGGATGATCTTTAACCTCAGACAAATTTCAATGTAATAGGATAGGACACAACTGCTTACACTAGAGTCTTATCAAATTTTGATTCAGATTCTTCCACTCATTAAAACCACTCTTGTGTCCCATGCTGGAACTTTTCTGGTCCATTAATGCCCCAAAGTCAACATTCTGAAGACAAAATTTCATATTGTCCATTGTTGCAGAAATCACTATTCAACAATTGAACGAAGACCCATTATGTACAGATTTATTTTTAAGGTATCAATGAAACAATATAGAAGAAATCATAACCCCTAGTCTCCAGAACCCCCAAATTAGTTTGATGTACACACACACACACACACACACACACTCACACACACTTTTCATCATATAAACAGACAAAGGCAGAGTAAGAAGTCTTCTGGGAAGTAAATGTGGTTGAGAGTTTTACCAGATAGGTGTGGTAGGTGTGGTCAGCATAGTGAAGCAAAGGCCAGGAAGTGGGAAGTCCTGGACAGTCTCAGGGATGAGAAGCAAGGGCTCTCATCAGAGTTGGAGGAGGGATAATTGGCTGAGGTAAAGTGGAAAAGAGAACAAACTTGAGCATCAAATCTGGGAAACTTTTGAATGGAAGGCAAAGAATTTGAAACATTATTCTATGTGTTATAGGAAACCACAAAACTATTTGAGTAAGTAGTCACGTCAGGGTTTAAGCAGGCCCAATGCACAAAAATACTGTTCTCTCATGTATGGAACCAGCTGAGAGTTGAACACAGAGGCAGTTAGATGGAATTAAAAAATTTTACCTTTGTTACTGAAAAAGAGTAGGTTGGAGACTGTGCCTTAGCTGGGTTCACTAAGAAAGCCTTTTAGTATTCTCCTGAAATTAAATGTATTTTCTCTTTTACAGAATCAGTGGATAGCTAAGATAAAGTAATTCAGAATGGTTGAAAATGAAATGATGGACAAAAGAAGAGGAGGTTAATGTGAGGAAATGAACAAGCAGAACCCAGTCCAAAAATCATTAAGTAATATGCAAGCTGCCTTTAAAAATAAAACCTACATTCACAATGACTAGACTCTAGTACTTACTATTCTACATGTATTGAATTATAAATATGGGAGAATTCCAAGATGGCGGCTAGAGGTAGGAAGCAGAAAGCGACCCTCCTATAGTGAAATCTTGGAGAGACGCTGGAGACACACTTTGCAGGCATAATCACCGAGAAAAGGCATAACTTTGACTCCTCCACATCTCCAGCCGGCGCAGAGAATCTCCACTTCACGTTAAACGGAGAACCGAGGAGGCCCCGGGGCCGCCAGTGGCCGGCGCCCATACGACTTGGGAAGACGCGGACCAGGTGAGCTTCGCGGTACCGCGGTAGCCCCACAGACAAGCCTGGGCCAGAGCAGCATAGCCCCCTGGACAGACTGACCTCCACCCGGGAAAAAAGAGAAACTGAGTACTAAGCAATAAGAACAGTTAAGACACGCTGGAAAGAGGGTGGGGCGCCCTGAGCGCTGAAGATTGGGGGAAGGGAATCCTTCCCGGGACTGTAAATAAACGAGCCGGGTGGCCGGAGAGGCTCTGGCGGGAGCGGGGCGCGCCCAGCAACCAGGAGCGGGACGCTTGTGAGAGGAGGGAAGACCCACTTCCCACGTGAACTGTAAATAAACACGCAGGCCTGACAACGCGGGGCAGTGTCGCCTTACCCAGTGCTTGGAAAGGGAAAGCCTGTAGCAGAGGCCCCTCCCCACAGGAGAACTCTGAGCAAACAAAGCCTGTGGGACCAGGTGAGTGCTAGCTCACCCCAGAGATCTGCATAAATAACGCCGCCAGCTACAGGCTGAGAGCAGCAGGCAGGCAAGCCACAGTTGCAGATACCACTCTCAGAACTGCCTCCAGACGCTTTTTTTTTCTTTTTCTCCCTACCTTTGATGAGAGAACAACCGAATTACACCTGCAAGCCGAAAAACTTACTGAAACTGTATTGCATTTGAACTGGGGACACTTGGTGGGGCTTTTTTTTTTTTTTTCTTCTGTGTGTGTGTGAGTGTAGTTTTGTTCTACTTTATGCATCCCCTTTGATGAGACAACTACAGAACAACATCTGAGGCACCAACTCCAGGACTGGAGATTGAGACGGACATCCAAATTATTAAGACTGAAATTGCATTGCATATAAACTTGGAAGTTTTTTGGTTTTTGGTTTTTTTTTTTTTTTTAATTTTCTATTTTCCATTTTATTTTAATTCATTTTTATAAATAGATATTACTTTCATATACTTATTTTTTATTTTTTTTATCTTTGATTTTCAATCCTCTCTCTGTCACTCTATTGTCTGTTCAGCTTACTGTCGATTAGTACACTAACACTCCCTGTTTATACCTTTGAAACTCTCTTGTCTGATACCTTGTTCTGCTTTCTCCCTCTTGTCTGTATATTTGTTTTCCCCTTTTCTTTAACTTCTTGCTTTCCATCTCAGCTCACTCTTCCATTCTCAATATTACCATTGTTATTATTACAAGCTAGAAAATACTTAATTACACACAGTACAGGGACAGTAACACACCAAGGACAATGACAGGAAGACAGAAAAAACAAGGAAACCAGTCCCCACAGCAAAAAAATTAGAACAGGAACCAGAGCGGGAATGAAAAGAACAGAAACTTCAGATTCCAGGACTCCACCACAAATATGAAGATAAACTATGCCAAAGAAACCAATTGAAGTCCCACCATTGAATAATTTAAAAGAAAGACATACTACAAGTTAACCCAATGAGAATTTTATGAGAGAGCTGTGATAGGGGTCAACCAAAAATTTACCATGTTACATGGAGGACAACTCAAGAAATCCAAGACACAAAAAAATAGAGAATTTGAAAAAGCAAAAGAAGAAATAAAGAAACCATAGAAGCACTGTATAAACACAAAGTAAAGAGAGAACACAATGAATAAATGAATAAATGAACTCAGGAATCAAAATAACAACATTAAAAGAAAAACCAGGATATGGAAAACCTCAGAAAAAAGAAAAACGAAACAGAACTGCAAAACAAAAGGAAGGCCAATCCAGCAGAATAGAACAAACAGAAGACAGAATCTCGATTGTAAGATGAAATGGTAATTAAAGGAAAAACCAAAGAACTATAATTAAACAACTCAAGACCTGTGAAAAGAAAATGCAAGAACTCACGACTCCATCAAAAACCAAACTTGAGAATCATGGGCATCAAGAAGGAGAAGAGGTGCAAGCGAGGGAATGCATAATATATTCAACAAAATAATAACGGAAAAATTTCCCAAATCTAGAGAAAAGATATTCCCATACAGATGCAAGAGGCCTCCAGGACACAAACAGACCAGATCAAAATAGAAACTACTCCACGACATATCATCATTAAAACAACAAGTTTCAGAACTAAAGGAAAGAATATTGAAGGCTGTAAGAGAGAAAAAACAAGTAACATACAAAGGTAAACCCATCAAAATCACAGCAGACTTCTCAACAGAAACATTAAAAAGCAAGAAGAGCGTGGGGTGAGATCTTCCGGGCACTGAATGAAAATAACTTCAACCCCAGGATACTCTACCCAGCAAAGCTATCATTCAAAATAGAGGAGCAATAAAAGTCTTCCATGATAAGCAGAAACTAAAACAATATGTGACCACAAAGCCACCATTACAAAAGATTCTGCAAGGGATCTGCACACAGAAAGTGACAACCCAACTTAACCATGAAAAGGCAGGCAGCACCAAACACAGGAAAAGAAAAAGCAAGACAGTAGAGAGTAACATCAAGTTAGGTACACACAATCAACCTTCAAACAACTAAATAACTAAATGGCAGGAATCACCACATACCTATCAGTACTAACGCTTAATGTTAATGGACTTAATTCACCCATCAAAAGACACCATTGACAAAATGGATTAAAAAAGAAGATCCAACAATTTGTTGCTTACAGGAGACTCATCTCACGACAGAAATAAGCATATGCTTAGGATGAAAGGGCTGGAAGAAGATTTACCAAGCCAATGGCCCCGAAAACAGGCAGGAGTAGCAATACTTATCTCTGACAAAGTAGACTTCAAACCTACATTGATCAAACGAGATAAACAAGCACATTCCATACTAATAAAAGGGGAAATAGACCAAAAGGAAATAATAATCATCAATCTGTATGAACCCAATGTCAACGCACCCAATTTCATCAAACATACCCTGAAAGACCTAAAGCCATATATAATTGCCAACAAAGTGGTTGTGGGAGACTTTAACACCCCATTATCATCAATAGATAGGTAATCCAAACAAAAAAAATCAATAAAGAAATCCAAGATATAAAATCTGCAATAAATCAAATAGACCTAGTAGATGTCTACAGAACATTTCATCCAATCTCTACACAATATACATTCTTCTCAGTAGCCCATGGAACCTTCTCCAAAATAGATCATATCCTAGGGCACAAAGCAAGCCTCAGCAAATATAAGAAAATAGAAATAATTACCATGCATACTATCTGATCACAATGCAGTAAAAGTAGAACTCAAACAACAAAAGTAAAGACAAAAAAACATGCAAACAGCTGGAAACTAA